GTGAGGTAGCACTACATCTTTCCCTCCAATAACAGACGTACAAAATGCAAATGCTGTGGTTCACAGGTGAGGGCAAAGAGCTGTCTGCCATAAGGGGTCACAGCGCTGGAGGCGGTACGTGGTGCAGTTTGGCACCGAGATACAGGTCTAGCTGTGGGGCAGAGGGGAGAAGAAGCCTGGGAGCAAGTCATATAATACTGGGACTTGACAGATCTTAAGAGTAACAGTCAGAAAGTTCAGGGAAGAATTGCGTAGTTTAGGACGGATGTTCGAAATCAAAGCTTGAGGTGACATGATGTGGGAATTCTACTGGAAGAGAAAAATAAGGAAGAAGGCAGAAAAAAAACACCTCCTGAAGACATTCCTGTTTTTTTGATTTTGCTTTAGGACTGATCTTTTCTCAGTTCCTGCCTACACAAATGTGCTATGAACTTGACAGACTGTCAGCCAAGTATTGTAAAGCAAGCTATCCTGCCACTGATACAGCCGTTACCGTGTTAAGTCCTTGATATGGTGGATGTGAAGCAGCTTCCTAAGTGTTAAGCCTTTGAGTACACCCACTGCTTCTAGAAAACTGAGCACATTCAGTCAGAAGTGAGGGTTTGTTCAGCTGATAAAGTGCTTTCATACCTTCAAACATATTGCATGGTAGCAGTTTAATTAAACGTGCATGCGCACACATGCATCTATCCTTGTATATGTACCCTTATCTGAGGTAATCACCCAAGGTGCTCCACAAAGAAAGCAAATTAGAACCCCAGAGACCTAAATTTCTCTTCATACTCACAGAATATCACCAGCACATTCAGAGGTAGCCCAAGCTTCCTGGTCACCCCTCTCCTCTCCTGCTAGCTTGACTTGGTCTGTGCTTCTAAGGATGAGGCGCTGCTAAAGTCTGCAATCTTTTGCTAAGAGTATGGATGACTTTCCTAATTGATGCCAACTGTCAGATTTGCTTTGGTTATGTGATTGTCTTTCCAACAGGCATGGAGAAGTCATAACAGACTTGCAATTACTGGTCATAAATTATAAGTTTCATTTGCCAGCATGATAAGAAAGCCAGTTATTCCTTTGATGAACAAACCTGCTGAAAATCTATCTCATGGCAGAGATGTACAAAAATGCAGTTCTGGGCAATTTAATTTTAGTTTTTCAAAGACATGCTTGCAGCTAAGCCATAGTATGACAGTGAGAACTGATAAGGCTGTTCCAGACAGCAGGAGGTGGAGATGAGTAAACTCCTCTGCCAACTGCCAGATTGCACGTCTGACACATTGTAGATGTAAATCCAAGAACCTCAATGGGGAGACTATGCTGAATCACACCCAGTGGGGATGTGCCTATTTTTTCAGGGCAAGAGGTAGTAAGAAGAGAGGAAAAACAAATTCCTTGATATAAAGTGCAATAATTTTACGCTAGCCAAGAACGTCCCTTGGTTTTTCTCTGAGGCAGCCCAGAGTGCCATGGTTGCCTGTTTGCCCAGGCACATGACTTTTTTCATCATCCCCCCCAATCAAAGCTATGAAAGTCAAAATTGTTATGTGACAACATACATCTTTGCTGGAGAGCAACATTATAAATACAAAAGGAAAGGGAAGTCTTTATATCACTTTTCTGTGGAACATGATAGTGTTTAGAACCCAAAGACAAGGATTCGTTTTTGTGTTGCCAACTGAGATATTCTAATCATGATTAGGAGATTCCTTGTTCTCAGAAAACAAACAAACAGACAAACAAAAAACAAAATGAGAGGACGCTCAGAAATTAATTAGATTCCTTGCAAAAAGGGAGACTTCTATAGCTCTGTCAAGATCAGATATACTTCTGGCAGGTGCCCTTCCATCAAGTATTCTCTGCTGGACTCAGTCCAGAGGTATTAATGAGAGGTGATATTCAGCAGGCTGGGTTTCCTGCTGGCCTATGAACACAGCATTGTCAGCAATACATGTGCACTGTATACTCACTTCTGAAGGCAGATCTGAAGTGTGGTTCATTAACTGTAATTACACATTATGGTACCCTGGCAACACAGAAAGGACATAGGGCTTCAGGCATTCAAAACCGTAGACCAAATCCAGAAACAAAACTCTTTTGATTTTTGTTCTGATACTCTGTCCCCAAATCAGACTCCCTCCAAAAACTTCTGGGCCTAAACCATGCAGGTGAGAACCTTCTGCAGTGAGTGAAGCAAAACACCCTAGGGTTATTCATACTTGTAGCTCATCTTCAAGTTTAGAAATGAAAATTCTTCAAACCTTAGAACTCTTCCAGACACCTACAGTGTTCAGTACCTCTGGCTCTCTGGGCTCTTAGAAGAGCAGCAATTCACCTCCAAATGAATATCAATTAATAGAGCTATTTAAGGCTTTGGGGAAAAAAAATGCCTATCTTTTAAAAACACTTAATAGGTAAGAACAAATTGGTGCCCATATCTTGTCATTTCGAGAACTCAAATGATTTATTTTTTAACACATTCTGCATATCGCCAAATTATCACATTAGGCTATTGAGAAAGTTTAGGATGAAAACTGAAAGCACAATTAAAAAGCATACAAAAGGAAGTAAAAAGAAGCAAAAAAAATATGGTGTCTTCCCCATGCACAACACAGCATTGTAACTTTTTTTTCTGATTTATCAGCTGGAGCTGTATTAAAGAATTATGAGTTGTGCAGTTCTTTTGTGGTCAACTGTCAGGGCCACGGTGGCTCTTCAGCAGCTGCAAGGGTGCAAGCTGAGCTGCTGGACACCATCCCTGTATCCTCTACCTTGAGGAGTCAGAGTCACAATTTTGGTCCTGAATAAGTGGACAAGCTGCCTATCAGGAATCATCTTAGTCTGCTAGTTGGTAGATAGTTTTAGCCCAGGAGCAGGATAGTTTATATGCTCTCAGGTTACACAAGATTATCACTACTTTTTATTTTATAAAGGAGAAATGGGTTTGAATCCTTAAGAAGTGTTCTTTATATAGGCATACATACAAGAGGTATCTCAACATTCTCTCATACTGCACCTTTCTGTGTACACATAACCACGTACCTCACAGTAATGTGTAGAAGTAAACACATGCAGACCTGCTCTAATATTGTGGCATTCATCATTGAAGAAATATTTCAGAAATAATCACTGTAAATATATCTTTTCAACATATGGAAGCAAGTGTATATTTTTAACATGTGAAGTGTGGTGTGGGATACAGATGCTAACAACACTGGAAGTGTTTTTAAGACATTACTTCCCCCTGTTTACGAGCAGTTAAGCCTGGATTTTCTTTTCCCTTTGTGCTCTACCCTGGATGCTGATATTAGCATTTCATTATTTAAAAAATGATTAACCATACAAGCAGTTCTTGGCTGATAAAATCTGATGATAAAAAAGACAAGTTTTAAAAATAAATTTTAAGGCATCTGATTACTGGATCCATAAACATTCAGTGTTATAGTGACTTTGCTGGAATCAGACAAGTTTTTGATACATCTCATTAAGCAATGTATTTTAACACAATAGGAACTCCCATTGCAAGCTCCCCTTAAGGCTTTCCGTGATATTTCTTCTAACCTACTAACAAATTTAAGAGTTTCTAACAATCAAAGAGTCACTAGGACCATACAGACGAGTAACCAGATGGGACTGTGAAGACATTGAGAAGCCTGCCTTTAATGTCATTCTTCTCTCTAGATAAGCAAATGTAAAATCCTGACCTCAGCAGTCAAGTGGAAGGCAGCCATTCTGAGTAGCCACTAGAAATTTAGTATCAGAGAAAGACACAATCAGACCCTCTGCTTTCATGTTGGTGTTACAGTAAGTCAGGGGGAAAAAAACCCAACATTATTCCTTCTATCATAAAGGTAAAATTAGTTTCTCCCCAGAAACTGTCTGCCAAGTACCTTCAACATCATATTCAGGGCTGTGGGACTCAGAAGAGGGTTCTCTTCACCAGAAACATCATAAGAGTCTAGAGTAATCTGGATGCTTTCTATCTTTAATATACAGTTAAAAAATATAAACAAATAAATACATCAGTTTACCAACAGCTAAATACAGATTTTGAGGTTTCTAAGTAAGCACTTTCCAGGGTAGAAGTTTTCAGAGCCTTTGTCTGCATGAACTTACAGAGTGGAAACTCCCCTGCAGAGCTCTGACCCTCTTGCATCAGACAGGCATGGCACAGTGGTATCTAAGAACATTATGGTGGATTAACCCTGGCTGGACACCAGGTGTCCACGGAAGCTGCTCTATCACTCCCCCTCCTCAGCTGGACAGGGAGAGAAAACATAACAAAAAGCTCCTGGGTTGAGATAAAGAGAGAACACTCACTAATCAATGTAATGGACAAACCAGAAACAACTTGGGGAAAAATTAATTTATGCATTACCATTCAAATTAGAGTAGGGCAATGAAAAAATAAAACCAGGGAGGATATGTACTCCCTGGACAACCTCCATGGGCTGCAAAGGGACAGCCTACCTCACCACGGTAATCATCATGGGCTGTATGGGAATTTCTGTTCAGGTGCTTGTAGCACCTCTGCCCCCTCCTTCTTTGCTGACCTTGGTGTCTGCAGAGTTGTTTCTCTGAGTGTATTATCATTCCTCCCTCCAGCTGAAGCTGCTGCTTTGTTTGTTTTTGGTTTTGTTTTGTTTAGTTTTTGGCTTGTTTTGTTTCATTTTTATTTTTTTCTCCCTTCTTAAATCTGTTATCACAGAGGTGTTAACACCATCGCCGATGGGCTCAGCCTTGGCCAGCAGCAAGTCCATCTTGGAGCCTGGTGGCATTGGATCTCCCTGACATCAAGGAAGCTTCTAGCAGCTTCCCACAAAAGCCACCCTTTGTAGCTCCCATGCTACCAAAACCTTGCCACATGAACTCAATACAAAGGTAAAAGACTTTTCACTCTATTCTGTATTGCTACTATTTGTTTTGGTTGATGACACATTATGGCTTGCATCTGTTATATAATCAATAAGCGTTAACGAGGAAAAATTTGGGATTGTAGCACTTACTTGGGGTGTTCAGGAGACGTGACTTTTTGCAGTGGTAGGCTGCCTCCTGTTCACAGTACTCTGCACTGTTTATCATGGCTTCAAGCTGCTCCATACTGCTGTTGTAGTTAAAGGACATAGTGTATGGCTTCTTCAAATCAGCATCTTGCACTTTGGTTAGACCTGTGTTATTGTGCTGCACTGCAGTCCAGATCTTATCCTCTGTTAAATGAGAAAGGATTGAATGGGAAGTTAACAGCAAAAAACTTTCAACAAGCAGGGAACAAAAACCCAATTGAAATCTAACCCTTTACTGCATTAGAGAGAGCATAGTCAGGACCCTGGGCTCTGAAATGGTCCTCTGCGATGAAGATCTGTTACAGGTCAGCGTAGCCCTCAGAGTTGTTTCTCCCCGAACCAGCTCAAGCAAATACTGCAGAGACTGCTGAGTGAGAGAACATGTACAAGCTTCCTGGGAACCACAGGAGATTTTGGGTATCTTCTATTGCTGGGTATCTGAAGAAAATAAGATTCCTTTCAGCTGGCTTTGGCCCTGAGAGAAAAGGTGTAATACTGCTCATGGGGGTAATGCATCTTTTGCTAACATAGCTGTAGCTGAGAGCACAGCCCATGCTCTTACAACAAGAAATGGCAGCAGAGAACTGTGGCTGATGAGCTTGCACAAATTCACCACAAACTCTTCCCAGTAAGCTAGAACATCTTACCGACCAGCTGCAAGTCAGATCACTCATTTTACTCAGTTCTTAGATTTTTCTACATATATGTGGAATGATGCCCTGCTTGGATGATGGTAAAAATATGACAAAAATATGACTTGGCTTCTGTGGGTAATTGTAGATGTTGATGCTGTTCCATGCTGGAGAGCCCATTCTCATCTCCTTCATTGTGTTTACTGCCAGAGCAAGGGATTTTGTAGGAAACAGAAAGCAGAATCTAGGCTTAGGCACAACCTCCACTGTAACAACTCAGCTCATGACCAGCACTGGGGTTGGCATGTTCAGGAGAATATCACAGTTAGAAGCAATTAGCTTAGCAGGGAGGCTGTTTCCCAGCTGCTTCTGGTGAGATAGCAAAAGCAAGATAACAAGGGTAGTCTGAATAGCCAATTTGCCAAGCTGACCCAGAATAAAAAGTGTACTCCTTAATGAGGATTCACAGGACTGAGGCTTACATGCGCTCCACGATGTTACTAAAAGTTACAACCAGTAAACTTCTAACAAAGACCCTGCTTGCCTAGAGAGGATACAAAATACTGACAAGACGAAAAATTAAGACAGCAAATTTTGAAATCTTCCTCTTGACAAATGATTAATCTCACTTGCAGTAATCTATGGATAGTTAGAGTGGAAGAGGCAAAATGTAGACAAGAGATTTCTATTTTGTTATTTATGCCTCAACAGTGAATCTCTGGATAACACTGAACCCGATCTTTTCTAAACCAGCCTTTGAAACTATGCATTTAAGCATTGAGATGATTTTACCAGATTACCTGGTGTGAGTTCCTGCAGAACATAAACTTCCCAGTTACTCCCAAATACACTGGCATGACCAGCCCAGCAGCTTTGTGGCCACTGCAATGCATTGCAGCTGAAGTATTTTTCATTGAACTACAAATATCCCACAGATTACTTCAACAGAACTCTAATAGATGTATAAAAATACTAAATGGGCTATTTGTGCAAAGACACTCAGATTATTTAATGGATTGCCATTATGGAGGCATTTAGATGACAGGCAAGTAACAACAACCATCTGGAGACTATTTAAAGAGGTCTGTTCCAAGACCTGGCTGCAAGTTACAGGGAAATTACTCTCACAGTAATGCATGGCATTAACTGTAAGGACAATTTATGCCCAGCAAAACATACATTCACTCACAACACTCTCATCATTTCTGTGATGGTGGATAAAGTGTTTGTTCATAGATCTGTAATTGTGTGATTCTTGAGTTCAGGATTTTGCCTAAGAATCCTTTGAGTTGGAGCTCAAAGAAACACTGCTACAATGTGATAAACAAAAGCTAGATTAAAATCACAAGAAATATTACAAATTTATTGCTTGTAAAACATGCCCCAGTGGTTGTTATCACAGCCAACACTGTAGCATAATACCCTGCACAGTCCTGCACATATATTGTTTCCAGCACAATATAATTCAAAGACTTCATAACACATATCATGCACAACTGAAAGCAGTGATTCTTATCAGCCAGAGTGTCTCTGTTTTTTCTTTTTTTTCTTTCTCTTAAGGACTAACATGAAGAGAGTGCATTTTTCAGAAGCAGTTGAGGGTGAGCTAACTTTCCTCTCACTGAAGCTGATAGAAGTTTCACCCTTGCTTTCACCAAAAAGTCTACTAAAAAAAGAAACATCAAGTTGTTGACATTATAAGCACGACGTAAAACCACAAGATGATGGAGCAAACTGTTTGCTGAAATTCCAGATGAACAGTCATAAATTCCTCCCCATTAAGACTTATAATTTTGAGAAATGGCAACAAAACCAATGCTCACACTAGTGGCTACAGTGCTGCTCAGGAACTTCAGCAGCCTAACACTAGAGTTTCAGAGTCATCAACACTACTGGGCTTTCCAGGCTATGTGCTTGTATACCAGGAAAAGTGCTATGCGGGTACCTGAAAAACCAGAAGCATCAAGATCTAGTAATTTAGAGGCAAAGAAGGATTACTAGGAAGAACTTAGTAAACGTAGCAGTAAAAAAAAACAAACAACAACTACAACAACAACAAAAAAAAAAACAAACAAAAAAACAAAAACAAAAACAAAACAAAAACAAACAAACAAACAAACAAAAAAAACACAAAAAAAATACAAAAAAAACCCCAAGTGTTGGAAATGTAATTAATAGACATGTAATGAGGTTGAACAAGACACCAGCAAACATACTGTAAGCGACAAGCACTCATTAATAAGTGTGTTGATCATACACTTTCTCGGATAATTGTTGTCCATATTGATGGACCATATGACTTTTCCTTCTTTCTCTTCTTTGCCTCTGTGATTGTTCATTAATTTTCAGTGGTTGCTATTGAGCTGCACTCAGCTGTCCATCTGAGATCTGAAATTTGGCATTCAAGAACTGCTTTTTTCCACTTTTCTCCAGGATCTTTCAGAAATAAGAAGATAACTGCAGTCTTTTCCATCCTCTGGCTTGTGAAGGGAAGCAAAAAACAATTCATGTTTCTTTATGTACTCAAAGTAATCATGTCCCAGAGTTATAAAAAAAAAAAAAAAAAAGCTAACAGCAGAAGGGAAGAATTAGAGTTATATTTCAGGCATTTTCTAGTCTACACATGTCTGTTCTGTTATTTTTATTACTTTTACAAATCTGATCTGTGCTTTTCTGGTCACTTCAAAGATTCCCTCTGTGCTCTGTCTTTGAAGTAAAGGTAACCATCAGTATAGCTTCTCAAAAAATATGTAAGCTTGGCTCAGTGATCTAGTGAAAAGAAAGTCACAGCCACCAGGAAGCATACCTCCTGGATGGCAAAAGCTACTGCCATTCAAAAGTTTGTTTCTTTTCCCTATGCACAGTTGCTGTAGAAAGAGCACAAAGAAGCACATCCTCTGCCACCTTTTTTATATTTAACATAAAAAAAAAAAAAAAAAAAAAACAAAAACAAAAACACAAACCCTATGCAACAGGCTTTAAAAACATGAGAGTCTGAAAGGAATTCTTCAGATTAGAAGGGTGGCCCAACACACCAATGATGCAAGACAAAAGAACCAGTGACAGCAGTGTTAGGGGAGGAAGAGACATATTCAGCTGCCTCAGCCATGCTTCGCTCCACTTCCCAGGGAAAGAATAAGTACTTCCATTTCAGAAAAAGGGACATGAGGTGTAGAGGGACTAGGCAACACACTCAAAGTCGCACACCACCTGCAATAAGAAGGGTTTACATTTGGGTCACAGGAAAAACAAAACAAAAAAGAAACCACCACAGAAAGTTCCCTCTTTCAGATAGGACACCCTTTTGTTTACAGGCAGCAAATGAGTTTAAAAAATATTTAAAATTTAGTTTAAATGTAAAATTTAGTTTACATTGGACAGAGCAGGAGAGCCCACACTGCTCCCTCCTGCATCTCAGCTCCTGAGGGAGGAGTAACTAAGAGGTGCAGGGAAGTAAATTCTTGAATCATTCCAAGACGACAGCAAGACCACGGTCACCTGCTTCCACAGATCATACCAAAATGCCTTTGTTCTGAAGATCCTCACCATCAAGGTCAAGTCTTGGGCTTTATTCAAGCACCATTTTCTCTACTTTAAACCTGGCAGCATTTAGAAATAACACACTATTTTCTCAAATTCACGTGTACAAGTTTAGCCAGGGCTGCTCCCTGAACACAGCTGCCTGGCTCAGAATGAGGTAGAGGGATCATACGCTTACAGATCGATCAGCGTGTACTCTGAAACCTGCTGACAATCTGGGACCTTGCATTTCAGGCATGCTTCAATCTGGACATGCACACAGATCACTAGAGCTAGAAAGCAGTGCAACAGCTGTCTGCAGCAGCTCCATGACTTGCATGTGCCTTTGCATACCTCTGTGTGGATTGCGCCTATGGCTTTTGAAAGTGTCAATTGTTCCTGTTTCACAACAGGAGGATGTTTTTGTTGTGGTTGCTGGGGGTCTTGGGGGGTTTTGCTTGTTAGTTTAATATTGATTCTGTTTTGTTTTCATTATATTAGGTACTGACACTGTAACAGATTCAAAATAAGCTTATTACCACTATCTCCTTATAGTCATTTCCATACCTGGAAACAGTTCATGTAGGCAAATAAGGCCTTTTTTTTTCCTTTATTTCAACAAAGAGGTTATCATTATTTTTTTACATCTGTCCATACTATAGGGTTGGGGTTTTTTTATGTTTATTTAATTTAATGAGTGCTCCCTGCACTTATGAATTTGTAATGAGAATGAAAAAAGCTATTTTCCAGGCAAAGGTCACTGTTTATTTTTGCCATGTATTATTCCATTTTATTATTTTATTACTTTCTCAGCTTGGTAAAATTTCAAACCACACACAAGCTGGAAGTCATTGAAAACCCAGCAGGAGAGTGCAGTCACATCTTCTACTGTATAACCTGGAATAGTTAAATGTAGCCTTGAAAAACAGATTTCCTAAATGCTTGTCAAATTGTTCCATAATTCAAAGGTGACAGTGCTTTAATTTCAGGGTA